CGATTTTTTATTTTCAGCTTTTTCAAGAATTAAAGTGACTCTAAAGATGTTCTGTAGGTCACTTTCCCATCACTGGGACAAAATACCTGACACCCATAACTTAAAGGGAAAAGGTTTATTTTTGCTCACATTTTTAGAGGGCTCAGTCCATCATTAGCTGGCTCCAAAGCAGAAGCAGCATGGTGGAATAAAGTTTTGCGACCCATGGCAGCCAGGAAGCAGAAAGAGAAGGAAGAAACTAGGGACAAGAATATACCCCTCCAGGTCACACCCCAGTGACCTGCCCCCTCCAAGGCACTGCCTCCTAGCAGCACACATTCAGCTATGAACTCAACAGTGGATTAACCCACTGGTGAGTATAATGCCTCCATGATCCAATCACCTTCTAGACCCTCCACCTCTGAACATGTGAGACTTTTGGGAGCCATCCTAGATCTAAACCATAACAGATGCACTCCTCTTTCTCTATACTTAAAATTAATTTATATAATTATAATACACTGTTAGAGTCTATTATTGTGGCGCTCATAGTATATAAGTGATCAAAAATACGGTAAATATTTCATTGAAAAATTTATTATGGTAAAAGACATATGGCCATTAATTCCCCAGAATATCCCCCCTCCCTTTAAACACATCCCATCATTCTTGCCACTTTTTGAAGCAGTTCTAGAAGTCTTTCCTGTCTTTTGAATGCTCTGCTGAGTGCCATCCAATGGAAAAGCAGGGCCAAAAAAAATTCCCTTGTGTTTTTTTTTTTTTTGGTACCTGGAATTGGACTCGGATCCTTGCTCTTGCCAGGCAGACAGTGGAACCACTGAGCTAAATCCCCGGCCCTCCTTTGTGTTTTCATCCACTTTATTCACTGAATCTGGCACCATGTGATTTCTGGCTTTTCTCCAAAGTCAAAAGTGACCATGGAAGCTAAAGGTTTTTGAACTGACTCAGCACATCAAGACAGCATGATTAAACAGCATGATTAAAGAAGACTTCCAGAACTGCTTGGGGAAGTGTCAGAAACAAAGGGGTAAGTGTGTCTGAAGTGAGGGAGAGTATTTTGAGGGGAATTAATGGTATGTGTCTTCTACTGTAAAAATTTTAAGCACTCACCATATTTTTGATTATACCTCACATCTTAAATAGTCCTATTTCTTATATGAATAGCACTACTTGCAGAGAAGACTGATAATTCAGCTACATCTACAGAAGAAGAGAAAATATCCCATAGTAAGAAGATTGGTCTCCCCTCTTCTGCTTTTTCAGGGACTTGAGTTTTCAGAGAAACTACATTGAAGCAAACCCTCTGAGTGAATGCCTGGCAAACTTCACTGTAACTCCAAACATGGGTCTGCTTGAGCTGTTTTTCCAGCTTGGGGATTTGCTTAGCTTTGGATCAAATCCAGAAGACACATATGAGGCTAAAGTCATGGCCGTGCTCCTACTTAACTCAGAATCCTCAAGTATATTTCTAGTTTTAATGAAAAACGGAGTCTTGGATCAGACATGGATTCAATCAGCCTCGCAAGAACTATAAAATGGTCTGGCCAAACAGGGTCCCCAAGATACGGTATTCTTATCTGTACCCACAATTGTGATGCTGAGTTGGAATTAAAGCAGGTTTTGAGATGTGTGTAGTGTGTTGTATCTCTAGTCCCAGCCACTGGGAAGGCTGAGGCAGGAAGATCACTTCAGCCCAGGAGTTCCAGGTCAATTTGGGAAACACAGCAAGACCTCCTTATAAATAAACAAACAGGCTTTGGCATTGGATATTAACTTTTTTTTTTTTTTTTGATACCAGGGATCAAACTCGGGTCCTTGCGCTTACACAGCAGGCGGCGAAACCACTGAGCTAAATCCCCAGCCCTCCTTTGTGTTTTCATCCACTTTATTCACTGAATCTGGCACCATGTGATTTCTGGCTTTTCTCCAAAGTCAAAAGTGACCACGGAAGCTAAAGGTTTTTGAACTGACTCAGCACATCAAGACAGCATGATTAAACAGCATGATTAAAGAAGACTTCCAGAACTGCTTGGAGAAGTGTCAGAAACAAAGGGGTAAGTGTGTCTGAAGTGAGGGAGAGTATTTTGAGGGGAATTAATAGCATGTGTCTTCTACTGTAAAAATTTTAACCACTCACCATATTTTTGATTATACCTCACATCTTACATAGTCCTATTTCTTATATGAATAGCACTACTTGCAGAGAAGACTGATAATTCAGCTACATCTACAGAAGAAGAGAAAATATCCCATAGTAAGGAGATTGGTCTCCCCTCTTCTGCTTTTTCAGGGACTTGAGTTTTCAGAGAAACTACATTGAAGCAAATCCTCTGAGTGAATGCCTGGAAAACTTCACTGTAATTCCAAACATGGGTCTGTTTGAGCTGTTTTTCCAGCTTGGGGATTTGCTTAGCTTTGGATCAAATCCAGAAGATACATATGAGGCTAAAGTCATGGCCGTGCTCCTACTTAACTCAGAATCCTCAAATATATTTCTAGTTTTAATGAAAAACGGAGTCTTGGATCAGACATGGATTCAGTCAGCCTCGCAAGAACTATAAAATGGTCTGGCCAAACAGGGTCCCCAAGATATGGTATTCTTATCTGTACCCACAATTGTGATGCTGAGTTGGAATTAAAGCAGGTTTTGAGATGTGTGTAGTGTGTTGTATCTCGAGTCCCAGCCACTGGGAAGGCTGAGGCAGGAAGATCGCTTCAGCCCAGGAGTTCCAGGTCAATTTGGGAAACACAGCAAGACCTCCTTATAAATAAACAAACAGGCTTTGGCACTGGATATTGATTAACATTTTTGTGTTTTTTTTGATACCAGGGATCAAACTCGGGTCCTTGTGCTTGCGAGGCAGGCAACGGAACCACTGGGCTAAATCCCCGGCTGGCATTGGATATTGAGAATCAAGTTTATCCTTCAGTATACAAAGGCTATCCTTTGTTCAGTACCTCCCCATATGTGATCTTCCTTGAATTTTCATAAATTCTCCTGTATCAGTAATTCACTATTACAACTTCAGATATAGGCACAATACCTTAAAGAAGGAAGTCCAATCATTTGTTGCATTTGAAATTCCTTTAAAAATGCTGGATTAATACTTGCATCTCTGCTGATATTATTTCTTATACGAAGGAACTGATTAGGTTTATTCCTACATTCTTTTAACAGAATGAGGAAACCATTTGCATTGTAAGTTAAGTATCCAAGAGCACAGGAGCACGCTGTGCAAACCTAAGTGAAGAAGAAACAATTCTTTCTTAACCAGTGAGCTTTATTCTTAAAACACCTAACCAGTTCTCCAGTTAACGACTTCATAGGTGAGTTTGTAGGTAGGTACAACATGTGTATGTAAACTGATGGCGATTTTTAGTTGGGAGCATAACCACCACATCTTAGAGAAGACAGTCCACTGCTGTTGATGTGTAATAGTTTGCAATCTTGACTGCATTCTAGAATCATCAAAAGGATTAAACAGGTGTCCACCAGTTAAATCTGAATCAATGCCACAGGTTATTTTTAATGTACAACCAAAGTAAGAACCTTTGAAATTGAAACTAAGAGGCTTTGAGATGTAACCTTTGAAATTTCAGCGTTGGCTGTGCATTAGAGTCACCTGAATAGCTTTGACCATTATGCCTTGGTTCCACCTCTAGAAATTCACTTAATTATTCTGGAGTGCAGCCTGGGCTTCAGGGTTTTTCAAAACTGCTCAGGTGATCACACCAGGCCAAGTCCACTCCCCTCCCTTAGCTTTTCATGGTGGGCTGATCTTGCCAGGGAAACACTCCCCAGAATTGACTGGTTTTCACTAAGCTTTCTGTTGGTTAACACTTTCAGGAAAGCGTTTCTTCTGTAATTACACAGAAACATTGCAAAAGAATAAATAAGTGGGCCAAAATGACCTTAATCACGCTGTTCCAAAGAACAAATCCAAATTTTCCTCCTACACTGGGTACAAAAGGTCATCTGACTTCCAATGGTGAAATGTTAAATTAATGTGTGCCTTTCAACACTGTTTGCTGTCTTATCTACCCCAGATGCTGCGATCTACATTTTTTATTTTACATGACTTTTTGAATTAAAAGATTTATATGGATGTGAAAAAAAAAAACTGCTCAGGTGATTGTCAAAGGAAACTTAAAGAGATAAAAGGCCCAAAGTAGGCCAAAGCGAGAAAGCACTGTTTTATGCTGAGAAGAACAGAGAAGCTCAAATGTTAGGCCACAGGACTCTAGGAAAAGTATTCATTCTTTAAAAGAAGTACACTTTCCCTGTGACTTAAGTAATTAGGTTGTTTATATGATGTATACTCCTGGGCAGCTGATAGTGATTTGGATAGCTGGTAGCATAAAAAAATTTAATAAAATGAACAAAAATCCAGGCTCATGCATGGTACCAGAGTTGACATATTAGTCTAATTGGCATCCAGCTGCTCTGTATGCCCATGTATCTTCCACACATTGAACTTGTGGCTCTGTTTTCATTGTATGGTTCCTGGATCAACAACTTCAGCTGCTGGGAGCTCGTTAGAAATACAATGTCTGGGGTCCACCTCAGATGTATTGAGCCAGGAATTCTGGGAATGGGCCCCAGAAGTCAATGACATAACAGTCTTTCAGGTAATTCTGGTTCACCCTAAAGTTGGAGAAATAACTGCTTTAGCCCTTAAGAGAAGAAGGGGGAACACTTAGAAGCAAACCATTGCCATGGCCAACATGGCCTCTTCCACATACCCTCACCTCTAACCCTGCTCAGTGGGTCAAGAAAACTGTCCTATGGATTCTACTTTCATTAGTTCCAGATCACAGAAAAATATCTTAGTGGGATCACAAAGTAACTAGTTTTTGTGAGATACTTCATAAACACTTCAGTTATAAATTTCTACATCATCAATGTATTTATTCATGGGATGAATCAATTCCAGCATTAAGATGACTCATTTCACAAGGTTTTCCCTGTTTTTTTTTTTTTTTTAATTTGGAGACTAATTTGAACAGGTATTTTTAAAAATCTTTAATTATAGTCATACTGCTTTTATAACTAAAGTCGTATTTAAGTCTTGGAGTTAAAATAAAGGTGCACTATTTGTAGGAATCAGAATGGTGGATGGCCAGTATGACTACTTAGTTCTAGAAAGTCCATCTAATTTTGAGATAATAACATGAACTATATTATATAACAGCCAACCTGAGGAGACATTTCATAGTGGGAGATGTGGGAAGCCATGGTTATTTTCCCATTGTTTCTTTGAAGGTTGCATTGCTGCTGAGTGATTAATGTGAAGTAGAACATTAACTTTCCACCTTGTAAACTATGCACAAAAACTACACATACATCACCTGATAGCTAATCACTTGCCATATCTTAAAGAATACCATTTCTTCCCCCATCTGAATATAATGTCAAAAGTCCCTTTAAAATACAAACATATATAGTTTATTCTGATTCCATGATTTGTTCATTAATTTTACCCAGAAGGACTGTTTCTAACAAAGCCCAGGGCACTGGATCCTGTTGAACAAAACATTACTCGGTCTTCAAACAACACCTGGCTATCCTGACCACCAAGCGACCACGACCTGACTGAAGCGTCCCTGGAATGACGTGAAAATCAAACATAAAGATCTCAGCCTTTCTCCCTGACAGCACCATCCTCTCTCGGTCTTGCCCACTGCTCTCTTGCAGTGGATCAATAAACACTTCACTTTTCTATATTACTAGACTATTGGTAAATTTCTTTTTACCACCTGTGGCACCAGCCTGTCACATGCTATGCCTTGCCTGGGACAAGAGCCACAATTTTAGTATACTCAGTTTTAAAATTTTGTTTTGACCTCTTCTCTTCCTGAGTACAAGTGGCAGCAGAGTCGTTGGATTGTTCCTAATGTAGTAAATGCTTCTGGAATACCAGCTCTATAGTGAGCCAGGCTAGCTATTAAATTCCCTATGAATTAAACAAGAAAACATGATTGTGTCATTTAAATGATAAGTTGATAATGCTGTCCTTTTGTTAATTTGTATATAGCTTTGACCTCTCTGGTAAATGAAGAAATGAGAAAAAGCATACATATGTAAATGAATAAATGTTCCCAAAAATTATGGTTTGGTTTTCTGACACAAACAATAAAAATTAAACAGGTTTTTTTAAGAGTAGGAATTTTTTTAAACCAGAGGCTTTCTTCTTTTGGTGCCTTTAAATATATTTTGTTTGGGGGCTTTAAAAAAAATGACAATGAAAGTGATGATTGAATGTCATAAGAAAATTTAGTATGTTCTTCCAGTTCAAATGACTTTAAAACTTTAGTAATATTATAGAGTAAAGGAATGTATTGCTTATTTAAATTTAAGATCACTGATGTTTTGACCATAAAAAAGGTGTTTTGGGACTGAAAATGACAAAATGACTCAGTGATTAAAATAATTGTGTAGCCATCAACAACACAAGTCCATTCATATTTTAAGATATAGATGTGTTTCTACATTTGTGGGTGGGTACTATATTTAGATGCGAACTGAGTTTTTGTTCTCCTGTACTTTTTCCTGGCCTCTAATACAAGGCGAAGAATTCTCCCTTAGTTGGAAAAGGCGGAGATGTATGGAAAGCAAAAGTTGCCAAAAGGTAACCTCTTTGTGAAGTTAGAAAAGATGCCTTTAAAGTTGGGAAGTAGGAGCTGGAAGACACATGAGAGGGGTAGGGAAAGTAGGAAGGACTTAGTTTTATAGTACTCGAAAGAGTAGGAGCAGGAACTTTGGAGAGAAGCCAAAAGATAACACAGGAAAACTCGACACTTGGCAACAGAAATCCCAGTCCCTGCAAAACTTCTGTGTCTTTGGAGCCTCTTCAGGGAATCGTGTCAGCTCGGACACCGAGCACTCAGTTGTCTTACACTGTTCCCGAAGCCTGATTGTCCTGGCCAGCCTGAGATGCCCGGATGTGCTGTGACTGGACATGTATAGGACTGTGGTACCAGAGAGCAGAGAAGGTCCAGAGACTTGAGAGTCAATTCTGCCCAGACAGTGAAGTTAACATCCAAAAGCAGGTGCATATAATACGGCATTTCATGCGCAAAAGGTAAACCCACTGCAGTTGTTTCTCAGAGTCACAGAATTACTATGACACTGAATTAATAATGTTATTTAGATGAAAATCTAATAATTTCTTTTATATGTGTTTTCTCTAGCTATTTTTCATCAGAATCTTTTCATTTGCTTAACTTTTTTCCTTGCCATGCAAATACACTCCATAATAATGTAATTTTATGGTACAGGTGGAATTTCTTTTATTCTCATCAGTGGCCTATTTCAGTTTAGAAAAAAAAATTTGCTTATTTATTGTTATCAACTGTCATTCTGACACTGTTTTATATTGCTTTGGGAATGATATGTCAAGTCACGTAACCATTATTG